TGGGACAGCACCTCAGGATGTGTCCCACGGGAAAGACACCAGGGGTTAATGTTGGTGATGAATTCCACTCTGTTTGTCACCGTGTTCTCACCCTGGGAGACTCCTCCCTAACTGAAGCTGCAGTCAGCTTGTCAGCCTGGGAATGGAGCTGAGAGTCAGGAGAAATCCAGGCCTGACAAGAATTTCCAAGCTGTAATTCCCCAGCTCTCTGAACGTGTGTCCACATTGTAGTACACTGGAGTTTGTTCAGCAGTGCAGGAGATTTGGGAAGCTCTCAGTAATGGTTGAAGTTACACAATTTCCAAGATGGTTTGGTGTAGGATGCTCCCCAGAAAAGTGTGCCATGATAATTACTTTTATTACGATGTCAGACTGTTTTGGATTGCATGTTTGTGTGATCTGCTGGGATCTTCTTCAGATGCTTTGCAAGAACGATTCGAGTAAGGCAGAGGAAGTGAAGGCACAGAAGGGTGGCTCTGAAGATGAGACTGAAGTGGAGAGGGAAGATGCTGTACAAAAAGTGTGCAATGCTACTGGGTGTTCAGTAAGTATCGAGGAGCCTTTCTGTGCTTCATGTTCAAACCTGGAAGTAGTCCTGGGAAAAATTCGTCTTGTACAAACTTGAGTACCACAGCCATCAATCAGGGTGCATCTCATCCTAGAATCAACTCTTATATGCAGGTGAAATGCCACCTTTTTTGTGGATGCTTAATAATTTTGGAAGGCTTGTCTTGCAGCTCTCATAAAATTCACATGGAAACAAATCTTGTAAGTTCTGAACTCCTTTGGGGGTATTGAAGATCCCAGATAACTGGATAATCTGTGACTCTTGGCTGTTGGCACTGTGCAGGTGCCTAGAACAGAAAGGGCCAAGAGGGAAATTTAGACTGAAAACAGTGTATTCCTTTTTTCTGATATCTTCAGGAATTTAAGGTCTTCCCCCTCACCCTTTCAGAAATGAAGCACAGACTAACTGAATGATCATAAAAGCAGCAGCCTCCTCTCAGTGGTGCAGGTGTTGTTAAGTGAATGTAGGTCAGAGATTTGAACTTCTTCAGTGTTCTCCTTCCCCTTTTGTGGACAGGACACGGATTTAGTAAGCCACATTCTGGAAGTGGAGGACTACAATGTGGAATCTGCAATATTTGCCATCTTGCAGGTGAAGGAAGGGGAAGGAACAGGTGAGTGCACAGTTTGTCACCTGGGGCTCCGGGTGACCGTGATGTTGGTGTTGGGGACAGCAGCAGGACAGGTGGGGTTTGTGTGCTGCCACCTCAGCCTTCTGTGCTCAGGAAGATTGTTAGTGAGGGCAGCTTCAATCCAGCTTCCAAAAAAACCCAGGACTTTTGAGAAAAGGAATTGGCTGACAGTGCAACAGCTCCTGGGTAGAGATGTCTGAGGAGAACCTCTGCTGTTGGCAGGTACCGAGGAGCAGCAGGAGCCCCAGGGCAGGGAGCAGAAATCCTGCAGCAGCAGGACACTGTGGGAAGAGAATGGAACTGGTTCAAGAATCTTTGGAAATCAGAGTTTGCATCAAGGTGAAGCAGAAAACGCCAAGGGACGAGCTGGATCCAGGGAAGAGAACCGGGCCAGCAGAAACCCAAAGGTGTGTGAGGGGTTGGGCAGCACCGTGAACACCCTTCAGTGACTGGGGGGTGCCTTAGCATGGTTTGCACAGCAGCTCTCTCAGTTTAAAAGAGCTTCTGCTCACTGCATTTTGTCACTGCTGCAGCTGTGACTGCTTTGCCACAAACATTTCCTGGTGATATGCGACACTCCTCCCAAAACAACTTGGAATAAAGTCCTGATAAATAGTTAGTAATGTCCTCTGGCAGCTGCCTTGGTATCTGCTTGTGTCCTTTTTTACTTTTCCCCAGCTGAGCAGAGCACGTGTGGTTTGAACTTTGTGTTTCCATGCTTTCCTTTCAGGTAGCCAAGAAGCAAAGGAAGAAGCAGCAGTGGCTGGAGAAGAAGAAGCAGCAGGAGGAGAGGCACCGGCAGAAGGTCCTGGCCAGCAAGAGGGACAGTGCAGACACCAGGACAGAGGCAGAGCCAGCCAACCACGTCACCCTGGTGAAGGCCATGGCAGCCCTAAACATATGACTCAGTGCTCTGATGAGTAAAGCAAATAAAACTGATGAAGACAAAATTCCCCCGGGAGAATTTCCAGGCACTCATGGTTATCTTAAAATCCATCTCTGCTGAGATTTCCAAGCACAAGAGAACTTCCTCTTCCTTTACTTGTGAGGAGGACAATTGCTCATTGATTCTGCATCAACCTGTGGTGAGAAGAGTTGTTTAAACTTAACAGGAAGTAGAGACTTGGGTCTATAATCTTGGGGTTAGATGATGATAAGAATCTTTTATTTACACAACAGTGTCAGATTTGTTTTGACATCTCTTGATGTGCCTGATTTAGTTTTTTCTTTTTCTTTTATTTGGTTATGCCTGGAGGAGCTTTATTTTACTTTGCTGTCAGGGAAAGTTTAACGGATCTCAACTCAGGAATATCTCTGGTGGCTCTTTTTCTATTTAAATTCAAATAAAGTAAGGCAACAGAGTCCCAGAATCCTTTCCAAAGCAAAATGTGTCAGCCAGCACTGTCTCAAACATGACATTCCTCTTTTGTTTGCCATGCAGGAATGCAGTGACAAGTTCTAATCTCACTGGAACTGCTGCCCTTGCACTGGGCTGGTTCAGAAGTGATGAATACATGGAGGGAGATGGGGATTGCTGCATCCATGCTTGCTGAGGTTTGGGGTCAGCTCCTTTAAGATGAGACCTGTAGGGGGAAAAAAAAGCCAAAATAATAATCCCGGTGGATTCATGGGAATGCAGAGCTGATTCTTCTGATCTGGTAAAAAGTGACAGGAACAAGCTTGAAGTTTCTGGTGAGTGTTGTTACTTGGACACCTGGAATCTCATCCCCTTTGCTCTGTTCCAGAGTTTTTGGGCTACTCCAGGGCTTTAGTCTAAGGCAGGAGCTGGATAGGTATTAGTCTCCAAATGAAATCAGTATAGCCAAAGGACCAAGAGTCCTGGGAACAAGCTTCCAAGCAGCAGTGATCCCTGGGAAACCTGTCTATTTATTTCACTTCATAAATCAAGCTTTTTGTCCAGGGTAGGATTTTTTTCATCTTAAATTTCATTTTGGTGAGGTCACCAAGTAGGATGTACAGCTTGACTCCTGTGATGTTTTCCACTGTAGGACTGCAAATTTGGATCAGGGTGAAAGGACTCAGCCTTTGATGATGGCTCACAGTGTTTCAGCTCCTCTCAGGTTTTTGGGCTTGTAACAAGCACTAAGCTTGAAGAAAGCACACATGCACTTACACACTGGAGACACCTCATCAGCCAGGGCAGAGGGGAAAGGGATTTTTTAGAAGTAAGGAGTGTTGCATTTTAAAAATTTGTCTGTGCTTGAAAGTTTATTAATCAGCATGGAAATTCAAATGGGTTTTTTTTACTGAACTGCCAAGAACTGGGTTGGTACTTGGTGTGCTCTGCTGTTGTTACTTGAAGAATAAAAAGAGGAGTTCTGGAAGAATTGGTGGTGTAGGAATTTCCTTTTTTCCAAGACAGTCATTTTTACAGTAGTGGAAAGAGAGATGAGTCACAGCTTAGTGGGGAGAAAGTGCAGGTTCCATCAGGGGGTGATAAGTTGTGGCAGCAGGTTTGGCAAGGCAGTACAGGTGACTGTGTCCTGACCTGTCCTGTATTTTCGTCTGAAAAGCAGGTGTGTTCTGCAGGTTTGAAAAGATAAGAATTTGAGGTTGTGCACTGTGAATAAGAGGTTTAATCTTAAATGAATTGGGATTTTGTCCTCTGGAGACAGAGCTGATAAGAGATTCGTTGTTGCCCAGAAGCTGAGAGGTGTAAAGGGAGTTGTCCTGGAGGCTGAGGAGGGAACTCAAAGCTCACCCCATCGTGTGAGGGTGGAAGGGGGATCTGCAACAGCACCACAAACAGCAGAGGGAGAGACTGGCTGCAGCTCCTGGCCTCTGATACATGGAACAAAATCTGGGGCTGAAAATGCTTTCATTTCCTAGGGCAGTATGATTAAAATAAACTCTTAATGTGTTGGGCTCATAAATCTTGACAAACCAGTCAAATTCCCTTTATCTTGCCAGGGTAGCTTTGTGCCTGCACAGCCATTCCATATCCAAAGATGTTAAAACTGATTTTGTCTATTCCATATTTTTCCTGTTGCAATTTCCACCTTCTCAATGTATACTTTTTTTTTCCTGGGGAATCTTTGTGCAACAGAACTCAGTTTATGCAGTGACTTTGCTTTGTAAACAGGTCATGGATTTTTCTGGAAGGAGGAAGGGAGACAAGAAATGAGCAGAACATCACCGTGATTCATCCATGGTGTGTGTTTACTCCTTGGTGGAGCTGAGTGCTCTGTAATCTGCAGGCCAAGGACAGACAATAAGCACTGGATATTCCCTTGGGATTTGGGGAGGATGACTATTTGTTTTTAGCTGCTGGCTGACAAATTTGAGGGTGTTTTGGCTGTTGCTGCAGCAGGGTCACTGTGAGCCTCTCAAGGGTGAATACACAGCAGGAGGATGTAGAAAGCCACTTTCCCTGCATCCTATTTCCCACCATCATCTTCCCTGGACTTATTTTCCCGAATCTTGCCCCTGCAGGTCAGCAATTCAGTTGAACTGGAAGTTTTAAGCATTTAGGCAGGTTCTGGCTGACCTCCATAAGCACATCTGTGTATGGGAAGGGTTTTCTGCCCGTGCTGCTCCTTGTTTCTACTTAGGAGCTGCCTTCTGGTTTATCTCACAGCTTTGCCACATCACCCATGGTCTCCATGTCTGCAGAGCTTTGGGAACTGCAGAAAGGGAGTGAAATTTGGCATGAAGAACAATCCATAATCCAGTGTTGGATAAAAGGGAGATGGTTTGTGCTGGTGTTGAGCTGTGGGGTGGTTCCTTGGAGCTTCCTGGCTGGAGGCACCAGCCTTAGAAGGCAGCATTGGCTCTGTCTCAGCTTCTAGAATCCTTATTGGCTGTAGAAAATGAGAAGAAATGAGTGTTTGGAGTTATAAAAATACCACATTTAATGTAGGAACGTGAGGTAGGGGTGTTGTTGCTTGTAATGAAGCACTTAACAGAGTCAGGCAGGAGCCCTCAACACTGAGGTGAAAATCAAATAAATTACTCTTAAAACTCCTTTATTTTAGGCAGATGACATCTCCAGAGGCAGCATTACAGCTGGAGGTGTCTCCATCGAGGCCCAGGATGCAGCCAGCCCTGGCTTGTTAGAGGTAATTAGGGCTAATTTGGGATCAGCTCTGGTGTGGGGCATGGAGCTGCAGCCAGAGATGTCTGTCTGCAAGAAAGAGCCACCCAAACCTCTGAGACCCCACCACTGGGCTCCCCCCTGCCTTCAGTGAGTATTAATTGCTTTAACAGTCATTAGAAGTGGGATGGGGCTGGATTGTGGATTGAGGCTGAGCTCCTGGGGAGAAGCTGGGTTTGGAGCCTGCTTTGGGGTTGGGATGCAGCAGCCACCTGCTTTTTCTGTGGGCTTTTTTTTTTCTGGCGCTCCTAAGATTTACTGGTTGTCTGCTAAAATGGCACTTCTGCTCATTTTTTAAGAGAAAATGTGTGCAGGAAGGAACATTTTCTTCAAAAAAATCAATCCTCCAGCTCCATGCTCTTACCTACCCCTTCCACCACCAATTCCCAAGACACAACACTGGTCTCAATTTTAAAACAGATCTTTATTTGCAGGGTTTTTCTCATTGTTATGAATTATTAACCACAGGAAGCAGGTTTTTCCTGTGCTAAGGCTCTGGGGAAAGGTGCTGGACACCTTTTTGGTGCCACAGGGAAGGCAGAACCCCCCAGTTCCAAGGGTTTCTGTTGGTCCCAGCCTGGCAGGTGTGTTCAGCAGGAGGGTGTTGAGCCCTTGCACTTGAAGTTGGGGTAGTTTTTGTAGGATTGGCGGTAGGAGCCGGCTGTCCTCTGGAAACACTCAGCTGCCCTCTTGTCACACATACAAGTCCCTCTTTGGCACGAATTCCCAGCTCCTGGAAGAAAATTGTGGGGGATGGAGGCAGGTGAAGGGTGTGAAGGTCAGGGGGTGTTTTTTGACTGTCCCCATAGCCCCTCTGTTGAGTTAGGGGTGTCTCAGGTGGATTCATGGCTGGAGTGTGGAGCTACCTGGCCCTGGGGAAGGAACATTTACTTCACTTTCTGCCTGATGTGTCTGTGGGTGTTTGCCTGGATCGCTGGGATGGGCTTTGCTTTGCTCCGTGGAACAGTGAGTTTGCTCTGGGGGAATCAGGGTGGCTGTGCCAGGTCCCCATCCAGGATGGAGGGTCATCTCAAACCCTTGGTATTTGGCCTCTTGGGAAGGACAAGGCCCCTCCTCAGGGAAATCTCCAAGCTCTAAACTTCGCCATAATCCAGCAAACACTTATTTCCTTATTCCTGGAATTTTTCCTGTATTTCCACCCACTTCACTTTGTGTGGTTTCCAGGCCAGCATGGTCTAAAGGGGATGTTGAAAGCCCAGTTTCCCCAAGAGTGTGGTGGCTGTGCCCCCCTGCCCAGAGCTCTACCCCGCTCTCACCGCAGATTATACTGTTTCCTACGATGTCAAATTTGTATCTGGTCGTTATGGGTTTGCAGCCGGCGGAAGCCAATCTCCTGTAGCAGCAGTCGTGGGCATGGCAGCACCTGGGGACATGAGAGCCAGTTCAGGGCAGGGGACAGTTGGGACAATAGAGCAGAACATCAACAACATGCATCTTTGCTGTGGCTGCTGAACCACTTCTAAAGAGGCTTTAAGGATAAGCAACAATATTCTCACTGCTATTTCCATCCCCAGGAACAAGAACAAGATTCCATTTGCTGTACCCAGGGAGGTGAGGAGGGCTGGGGACACCTGCTCTGCCTTCACCAAGTCCCAACATACCAGTCAGTGGCATCCAGGGGCTGTTTGGATCCCCCCAAGCCACAGTAGCAGCCGTATCCGTTGTAAGCCAGCGCTCCTTTCCCGGTCTTTTTCTTAATCATCTTTGCAAACTGGAACAAGTCGCAGCTGACAAAGGTCAGTCCTAGGACTGGAGAAAGGAGGTTAGGAGCACCAGGAAAAGCAACCTTCCATCCCACCTTTCCACAGGAAAAATGAGCATTTCACCCTCCCCGTGTGTCTATGGACAGCATTTGTCCTGTGGGCTTTCCCAGGGTACTCACAGAAGAGGAGCAGCGAGAGGAGCTTCATTCTGGCGATGGCAGCTCTGGGGTTTGGTGAGCCCAAGGTGTCCCTGGTCACACCTTTTATGGCTGTGCACCCTCAGCAAGGCCCCTCCTCCAGAGAGCCAGAGTGGGCAAATATTTACAATGCTCCCCATAATGGTCCTGCTGCTCTGCAGGTGTCCTGGTGCTGCTGGAGACCTTGGCTGTGGGATGTCCTGTATGGTGGAGGTCATGGCAGGAGGTTTTGGATGTGTGGGGCAGCCTGGGGTCGAGTCTGTGCATGGCTCTGGGTGCATTCCCAGTAGTTGCCTGAGTAACATGAGAGAACTTGAGGGAGAACAAGAACCACTTAGTACAAGGTGTCCCTGCCCATCACTGGGGGAGAATGTGGTTGTCTGAGGAGTCTGTTATTCCATGATCCACTTTCTTCCTGGATGACAGTTTTTTGATGTCTTTGCTACAAAACACCATTCTGTGTCTTACATTTCCATCCCGACTTACCTGGGCAGGGAGAAAATGCAGCCAGTACAAAATATCCTCCCCTTCCAACTTGCCAGAGTGGGTGAGATACAACACTGGGAGTGGAGGAAGATCCCAGCATGGCTGTGGCTGGAGACAGAGCTGAGCAGAGGCCGTGTCTGGTGGTTTTCTTGACAGTGGGGCTTTCTCAGTGCCCAGATACCCCCCTGCATGTGGGGATGCTCTATTCCTCTCCTCGTGTGTGCTGGGCACTCTGTTTTGCTCTCAAATACCTCATGGCATGAGGTGTGTGGTTCGCCTTTATTTAGAAGCAAAATAATGCAAGTGGCAGGGAAGACAAGTGCAGGTGATGTATGATGGAAGGTGGGGGGAAAAGAGGCTGCTTGTGTCGTTTGCTCAGGGAGAATTTCTAACTAAACTGGTGGTACTGAATAGTCATTTAGCAGATATCTTCTGGCAGAGATTGCAACAGATCTGTGCTGCTTTTTGGGAAACCCCAGCATGGACAGGCTTTGAGGCAGGGGAGGAAATCCCCCCAGGGCTGGTAGGGAAACTGAGGCACGGAACAAGGATGCCACTTGTGTGGGAATCAGAGAGATGCTGAGAAAAGGGAACTCGGCAGGATCTCTTCCCCTCTCTGGCATGGGCCCTTTGTCTCATCAGCTCTCTGGGCTAATTTAAGTAGGCCCCTGGGTTAGTACTAATTGTCTAAACCAGGATTTGCCATAATTCAGGATTTTCCAAGTCCACAACAGTTTTATCACAGGTGAATATGATGAATTCTTGTCCATCAAACTGGCTGAGCTCCACTGAAAGCCTCTCCACCTCAGCCCATCTCCCTGTGGCAGGTTTGCAGGATCCCTTCTCCAAATGGGAAATAAGCCCCCCCTCAAAGCCAAATGCCTGCTGGGAAGCTGTGGATTTTGTTTGATGGTATGAAAACTACAACTCTTGCAGTCTGGTTTATTGCAATGCTCAGAGGGGATGCAGTATCTGAGCTAAAAGTTCAGCATTTGGAGGATTTGTATGAATGGATTTGTACAGCCAGATGTCCAAGCAGGAAAATTCATGGATGGTTAAAATTCACCCAGAATTTACAAAGGGAGAGTGTGATTCTGTTAATCCCAGCCTGCAGTCTGTCTCGGATATCCATCATTTCGGTGAGGATTTGATCCTTGATTTATGTATGCTCTGCAATCATCAGCTGCTGTGCAAAGGGTTCCTTCCTTGTCTCCCTTTTCTGTGGAAACCCCAGGATTCCACATGGCTGGAGGGGGGTGGCAGGGCCTGTTTCCTGGCTGACAGCTGGCAGAAGTATCGCTGATTTCAGGGTTATTTCCTGGTGCCATTGGTTTCAGCTATGGGGCCATCCAGGGTGAGAATTCCAGCTGGACATCAGCCCCTGAGGAAACAGTGTTTTGTTGCTGTTTCTGTGGTTTTATTTCGTTGCTGAGCCCCCCTAAGGTGGTTTGGAGCACGGGGACCTGCCGGGGTTAACACCCCAAGACACAAAACCTGGTGATGCTGAAGTGGGGGGAAGCAGCCACTGCTTGGACTGCCTTTTCCTAAGGAATGTGCTCAGGGCTGTTGCAGAATTGTGCCAAAACATTCTTTTCTGGTGAGAACTCTGTTTTGTTCAGCACTGGGTGTGAGGCAAGCTCCTGGCCATCCTGTCAGAGCAGAGATTTCGGGGATCACAGAATGTCCTGAGCTGGAAGGGACCCACAAGGATCATCGAAGTCCAAGCCCATCCCTCCCACGCCATCGTGCCTGCCCCCAGCCCTTCCACCAGCCTCCACTTGCCCATATCTCAGAAAAACTGGAAATTTTCATAGCCTGAAGGTTTTCAGGCCTGAAGCTACGTTGAGGCAATTCAGGGGTGAATTGTGTCACCTCTCAAGTGTCATTTTTGCTGAGTACTTCAAGAGGAAACCTGTCTGAGAGGTGAGGGGTGGTCACTGGGCTCGGCTGAGTCACGACACGCTGGGAACCGCTGCTTTTAGGCTCTCTGGTTTTATTTTGGAGCAAGAGGAGGGGATTTGCTGTGAAGCAGGAAGCGGAGGGAGCAGACAGGCTGCCAAGGGGGATGCTCCCCATCCCATCCCCACCGGGACGAGCCGCAGTGTCCACTCCTGCCTTGTTTTGCTGTGCTGGAGCATCACGGCAGCGCTGCTCCCCCTCCTCGGATGCCGTGACCGGGGAGCTGCTGTCCTCGCCTCGAAGCCGAAAGGCCCCGAGGAGGAGGCTCGCCAGGGCTGAGGAGCGCTGCCGGCACCGTCCCTTCGCGGATCAGCCCGGAGATGCTTTCACAAAGGGAGTTTTTGGTTCAGCACCGCCCGGCTCGTCCCCGGCAGCCGGCGCGGCGGCGGAGCTGAGCCCGGACGAGCTGAGCCCGGCACAGCCGAGCCGCCCGCTCGCAGCGGCACGCTGCCCGCTGGCACCGCGACCCCGACCCTGCGGGGACAGACCTTCTCAGCGCACCTGAGACCTTCCCCGAGCACCCCGGGAAACGGGATGGTCTGGGAAGGGGCATCCCGAGCACTCACTGCAGGTGGGGATCCCTGCCCGGGGCACAGAGAGGGGCTGCGCGGGTCCCAGGCGGCACCGCCGCGCTGCCAGCTTGGCATAGCAGCAGGCTCGGAGCAGGCAGCACCTGCGGGAGGAGGAGAGCCTGGGCTCGCCGGGAATGTGGCACCGGCTGCTCCTGCCCCACCTGACACAGGTGGGTGACACAGGCGAGCCGGGTGGGAAGAGCCTCCAGCTCTGCGTTCTCCTGCTCTGCATCACCCAGAAGCTTCTCTGTCCTGCCCGTTCCCACGCCAAGCCTCTGCCTCCCCGTGCAAGCCTTGCTCCGCATCCTGGCTTCAGGACCGGGCCTCTCCACCGGGCAGCTGTCACTGGCACCACCCTACTGACTCCCGGATGGAATGAGGGGTGAACACTGCCTCCCTTTCCTTGCTTCCCGAAAATCTAATTCCTTCCTGCTGCTGCCAAACACCTGGTCTGCGCTTTGCAAAGCTTCGGGTGGGGTTACTGGGGTTGTGCAGAGCCCCGGGGTTACCCTGGGGCCAGCGTTAGCCCTCTGGGGCCAGCGCTGACTGTACCGATCCACTGAAGCCCTCGAGGTGCCCAATCCCGAGTAGCATCCGTGGGCAGTCAGGTTTCCTACGGTGCTTCCCTCGAGTCCTGGTGTGAACGTGCGTGGGTGCTTCCCGTGAGCTGTGAATACACCTAGAGTGACCATAAAATGAGTTTGTTGGTTTGTTTTGTTTTTTTTTTTTTTTTCGTAAGTTATATGCAGAAATGAGACCTGGGGAACTGGGGAGGGAATGAGGCTTTAATGGGAGTCTCCCTGAGGAGTGCACAGGAGTTTGGGGATGAGCCTGGCTCCCATCTGTGGATCGGGGATACACTTACAGAAGGCAAACATCATCATCAGCACCAGCAGGACCTTCATCTTCCTCTCACCTGGGCCTGGGCGAAGAAACAGGGGACAGGCTCAGCCAGGCAGCGTGGCCTGTTTGACAGGAGCTGCCGTAAGAAGCTTCCTTTGAAATGGGATCAACCCCCAAAATCTGGAGGGAGGAAAGCAGCTGTGCCCCCTCACATCAGTGCTGCTGCCTGTTGACAAGTGGTTTCTGAAGCTGCCCCGGCACCTGAGCATCCCCCACCTCCTGTCCCACCCCTCCAGCATTTTTCCCCTCCTGTCCCCCCTCTTTTGGCAGCAGCGCACCCCTCCCCGCGTGGTGCAGCCTCCCAGCCGCGTTTCCATTTGGAAGGGATTGCACTTTTCCTGCAGGCACGGGCGGCTCCCGCTGCCTCCTCCCTCCATCCCCCCGGATTTTTCTTTCCACAGCAGCAGGGTTAGGGGGGGAATTGCTTACCAGGGATCTTCCTCGCTGTCAGTCTGTCCTCCTGGGGAGAGCCTGGCCTCCGTGTTCAGCCCTCGAGCTCCGACTGGAAGCTCCAAAATGCCTCGTCTGTCCCAAACCCAGGGAACGCTACGCCCCTTCCCCGCCGGCCAGCCCCCCTGTCCCCGTGGGCTGCAGCCTCGAGTGACGCAGGGGCCGACACCGAGTTCCTGGAAAGTTTTGGGAAGATGTTGATTATTTACGGGGATTTCTCTCCCTGCCCAGCTCTCAGAGGACGGGGGACGTCGAACAAGAACATTGTTTATTTTATTGATTTAAGTTGCAGCAGCTCTGGTGTGGTCAGCGCAGGGATGAAGGGCGATCCCGGCGCCGACCCGCGGGTGCTCCGGCCCCACATCCCAGCATCAGCACCGTTTGTTGGGGTAGAACCGGTAGCGTTTGCTGTAGCTCCCGACGTTTCTCTTCAGGCACAGCGCCAGGCTGCGGTCGCACTCGCAGGACAAGAAGGCGCACCGGGAGCCCTGTCCTGCGGGACGAGGGGAGCCCAGGGGGGTCAGTCCTGGCTTTGGGGGGTGACACCCCCTTTTCCAAGGTCATACTCACTGCAGGAGAGCCTGCCACGGTGGTAGTTGTAGTGGTAGAGCCGTGTCTTGGCATCGCAGTGGTACTTCAGGAGGTTTTCGTAGCAAGTATCATGCAGCTGGCAACATCTGCACAAGAGATCGAAGCTTTAGAGCATGAAGTTTTCTCCCCCTCACCCCACAAATGTCAAAATATTCAGATATTCAAGAACATGTCTGAGCAGGGGGTTTTAAGTGGGTTCTCACCTGTCTGTGGCATCCTTGGGCTGTCCCTTGCCCCCCAGGCCGCAGTAGCAGCCGTAGAAGCCGTAATGCAGAAGAGCAATTTTCCCTGTCACCTCTGAGATCATCTGGTGCAGCTGCAGCAGGTTCCCGTGGGCTGGGGACAAGCCTGGAGGGGGGAAATCAGGGAGATCACACTGATTCCCTGCCCCCCAACAGCAGCTCCATCCCTCCAGCCCCCAGATTGGCACCAGGGTGGTGATGTCTTAGAAATTATAATGCAGTGGAGAGGAAATGTGTTCCCAGCTTGGCACGGGAGAGTTGTTGCATGTCTGGGAGAGCTGGTGATAGGGAGAGATGAAGAAATCACCAGCCTGGTCCTAATTTCAATGGATGTAGCTGCACTGAGAGCCTTGGGACTGAGAGGATGCTTACCCCACACAAATAGCACAGAGAGGCCGAGGAGAGAGTTCATCCTTCAGCTCTGGGGGAGGAAACCAAACCATTCTCAGTTACACCAACCACCTTCTGTCTTTCCTCATCATGCAGGAGCAGAGGTTCTCCCTCTCTCCGGGGACTAGGGGTGATGAGGGGGGTAAGGATGTGCCTGTTGTTTCAGCACAAAGCGTTAGGGATGGGAATCAGATGGGGAAGGGGTGGGAAAAAGCAAAATCAGGAGAAAGGGAGAAAAATTGGAGGGGTGTTCAGCCCTCAAGGGCTGCACCCACTGCTCCTCTTCTGGGCTGGTTTCTCAGGCAGCATCTCCCTCAATCCTGTTTCCCCAGCACAGCACTTCTCACTTACGCCACAGTTTCTGGTGAAAGGAGGAAAAGAAGGAAAAGAAATCCTCCATCCCCACTTACCTTGGGAAAGCCCTGCTGCCCTGCAGTGCCCTGCAGCCAACTGGACTTGCTTTATATAATTTGCTCCCACCTGCCTGGGGTTCCTTTGACCCAAATCTCGCTGACTGGGTTTCCCTGCAAAGGAGAAGGTGCCATCCTTCCCCTTTCCGGAGAATGTCAGAAATCCCCAAAAGCCCCAGCTCGGTATCCCACGCCTGGGGTGGGTGCTGGGGGTGGGTGCTGGGTGGCATGAGGTGGAACAGCAGCGTCACTTCCAGCCTGAGGAGGAAGCAAACACGCTCTGCCTTGGCCAGAGGTGCCCAAGGGCCTTCTCCTCTGCCCTTCCCAGAACCAAGGAGCATCAAGGGGGAAAAGAACAGCTCTGGTTCAGGCTGGGCATGGACACAGCAAGTTTGGGGCTTTCAAGGTGGTGTAAGGTGGTTCAAGGAGAATTATCACTTCTTTGGGAAAAATCTATGGGCAAAACTGAACACATCTCTAAATGTGCAGTTCCTGAAGACAGGAGGGTGGCAGACACTGGATGATTACACCCTCACTCACCATGAGAAAACAGAAAAGAAAAATGAATATTCTGCGGTGAGAAAGTGCAACTTCCCTTTATTTCTCTCCTTATGATTTTTCCGCCCCATCATTATACCCCTCTGCAGAAACCATTTAGTCATCAATTGCCCTCCTAAATTAGCACTTGTCTAATGTAGGTGGTTAAGGCTTTGAAATCTTCCTTCCTCCTTGGATGATTATTCGTTAACCCTTATTTTCATGAGTCATGGAATCCCATGATTTGGTTTGGCAGGGACGTTAAGGAAGGAAGGTGATCTGTCTGTGTTTTCTGTCTTATGTGCTGGAAAAGTAGGGTTTTTATTGTCCTCCACTGACAAAGTTTTTAGCCAAGCCCTGATTCTGGCTCCGCTTTGTCGCTGGTGTCACGAGTGATGCTCCCAGGCTGGCATGTGCCTTATCTGAATTACTCACAACCCGTTAATGCTCCTCAGGCTAATTACTGCCTCTTTAATAATTTGCAATTCATCTGTTTACTGACTCTGTTTTCCTGCTTTTAGTGTGTCTGCATAAGAAAACGTGCTTTTGTGAAATTATTTGTATGGAATTGTTTATAGCAGGAAATAAATATAAAATAGCAGTTATGTCCTAGTAAAATCCTCACGTGCCAGAAGCCAAACACCCCAGAAGATATTTGGGATACTCCTGTGATACTGGGGATACTGGGGATACTCCCTGTGCTGAGCTGTGATTCAGGTTGTCCTGAATCAGGACAAGAGGAACATAAAAATTATATACAACTTAAAAATCACTGTGATGTGAAGCCTCTTCTTGTGTTCCTGGGATTGGTTTGTTAGTGTTCCTCACAGAGTTGTTTGGATGTGCCTCCTGAGATAGAACTAGAAATTCATAGGATCCCAGATTGGTTTGGGCTAGAGAGGACCCTAAAGCTCATCCAGTGTCCCCCCTGCCACAGCCAGGGACACCTTCCACTGTCCCAGCTTGCTGCAAGCCCTGTCCAGCCTGGCCTTGGACACTTCCAGGGATCCAGGGGCAGCCACAGCTTCTCTGGGTAACTTGTTCCCCAAACTTAGAGCTCCACATTGGGATAGATGTGTGAATTACAGCCCTGTCCATGGAAATGTTGGGGTGTCAGGCAAATGTGGTTGAGATGTGGGATGCAGAAGTGCTCCCCAAACTCGGCAGTCAGCATTGCAGTGCCTCAGTCTCAGCAGCCCTTACAGAAAAACACCACGGAGAACCAGTTTGCATCCCTTTTATTGTATCTCTTTATTATTTTTACTGGGAAATGAAACCAAGATAGGAGGAAGGGACAAAAAAGAGGAAACTGGTGTGTCTTTCCAGGAACTGCTGAGTCTCCATCCATGGTGTGTGTTCCCTTCTCACCCTGAGCAGCACAGGGAGCCTCGGGGGCTCTACCTTTTCTGAGCCCCCAACCCAGGCTTTTCTTGCTGGGGAAAACCAGCCAAAATCTAGAACTCTGTGTGCAGATTCCCCCTCCTCAGCACTGGAGCTTGCTTCCTTGGCATTGGAGCTTGAAGTAGAAGCGGTAGGAATTGTTGTAGGAATGCAGTGTGCTGGCGAAGCACGAGGCCACCGCGGTGTCACACAGGCACGTCTCTCTCTTGCACCAGCTCTGCTCATCACCTGCAAACAGGGGGGGAAACACGGAGCCCTGCGGTGCCTTTCCTGGCCAGAGACACCAGGGGAAAGGGGAAAGAGCAGCGTGTCCTGGTGCTTGCCCTCCCCAACCTGCCCACATCCTTAATGCCCATTTCATTATCCCAGCCGGCCGGGGATGGGGCTGGATTCACACAGGGGATGCTCT